TCACCGTGAGGCGCATTGTCCTTGGCTAACGATCCGCTTCCTACAAAGTCAAGGCTGCGATGTTGTGTTGAACAGATACTTGGAGTTTGGCTTCTGACCTTCGGACGAAGAGCGGATACTCCGAGAAAAGCCGCCCAAATATCCACTTATCTCGGCTTTTTGCGCGCAAGAACGGGGCGTTGTGATACGGGAGTTAAAACTGGAGAATGGAGCAACGACAAACTGGAGTGCGCGATGCAGATTTTCCGGTGGGGCCGACGAGAGACGCTACGTAAAAAGACGGAGACAGGTTCAGAGAGATTGAGATCCCAAGATTGACAGGACAGATTGATTGGAGTCGCCGGTTGGGGGACACGGGGGACACGGGGGACACTGGACACTTTTACATTGCAGCCGGTAAGGTACGTATCCTTTCGCGTCTGCTCGCCTCGCCGGCGTTTGATTCTCCCTCGTTGCTTGAAGACCAGGAAAGAGAGTCTTTACCTCAGGTATCAACGGCGTAGAGGTCGTCCGCCACCGCAATTGAAACCTGCTCGAGTAAGGCACACCGTTGTCAAGAAGCAAGGTAAGTGACCTACCCACCTTAGGTACGGAGTAGGTAGTTGGTCTGAATGGAAGGGAGGTCAACGGAGTGCCGGACGGCGGCTGAGCCTCTCACTCAATTCCTGTACGCCATCGCAAATTGAGCGCTTTGGCGCGTTGAATACCTCGGAGGACGGTCTCGACCTGCATCTGGGGCCCTGGGCAGCTTGAGAGCTCAAGGAAAAATTCCATGGTTGGACCGACGTTGGGGGAGCACTGCAGGGCAACATGGAATCGGCCGGGTGTGTAAGATGGATGGCAGATGTACCTGCAGCGCCAAAACACCTAGCGTAAATACCTCACCCTGCCTAAGAGACAACCCGTATGCCCGCTGAGGTACATTGGTATTTCCGGCCACGCCTGTGACGTGACCCCCCGAGGGCGGCCCCCCGGTCCAAGCAGCGCCTTTGCTTCATATTTTTTTCTATCCCATTACCTGCGTCTTTTTTCTTTCCCTCCTTTCCGATCTTCATCCTCCACCAGTTCCCGAAGCCTCACGATACTCTCACAATGTCTGTAGCGCGTCTTTCCACCTCTGCTCTGAGGACTTCCCTCAGAGCCTCCCCTTTCAAGGTCTCGGCTTTCAACGCTGCTCGTTGCTACTCTTCCAAGAACCAGGTAAGCTGCTGCTGCTGTTGTTTTCCTCCGGCCGTCCGGGCCACCTACCTCGGGTATCGTGAAGCTGACACGTTCGCATCTAGACCTTGAAGGAGCGCTTCGCTGAGCTTCTCCCCGAGAAGATTGAGGAGGTCAAGGCTCTGAGAAAGTGAGTGCATGGCCATTGAGTCCCCTTATCGCAACGTTGACACCTGCTAACCTCGCCGTCGCAGAGAGCATGGCTCCAAGGTCATCGACAAGGTCACCCTTGACCAGGTCTACGGTGGTGCCCGTGGCATCAAGTGCCTTGTCTGGGAGGGTTCCGTCCTCGACGCCGAGGAGGGTATCCGTTTCCGCGGCAAGACCATTCCCGAGTGCCAGGAGCTCCTCCCCAAGGCTCCCGGTGGCAAGGAGCCCCTTCCTGAGGGTAAGTTTACGTGTCGCGACAATTCTCGCAATCAATCGCCTTGCTGACAGAATTTCAAAGGTCTCTTCTGGCTTCTCCTGACCGGCGAGGTCCCTACCGAGCAGCAGGTTCGCGACCTGTCCGCCGAGTGGGCCGCCCGCTCCGACATCCCCAAGTTCGTCGAGGAGCTGATCGACCACTGCCCTACCGACCTTCACCCCATGGCCCAGTTCTCCCTGGCCGTTACCGCCCTCGAGCACACCTCTTCGTTCGCCAAGGCCTACGCCAAGGGTGTCAACAAGAAGGACTACTGGGGATACACCTTTGAGGACTCCATGGACCTGATTGCCAAGCTGCCCACCATTGCCGCTCGCATCTACCAGAACGTCTTCAAGGGCGGCAAGGTCGCCGCTGTTGAGAAGGACAAAGATTACTCCTTCAACTTCGCCAACCAGCTCGGCTTCGGCAGCAACACCGACTTCGTCGAGCTGCTCCGTCTCTACCTCACCATCCACACTGACCACGAGGGTGGCAACGTCTCTGCCCACACCACCCACTTGGTCGGCAGTGCTCTGTCCTCCCCCTTCCTTTCCGTTGCTGCTGGTCTCAACGGTCTGGCCGGTCCTCTCCACGGTCTTGCCAACCAGGAGGTCCTTAACTGGCTCACTGAGATGAAGAAGGTTGTTGGTGACGACCTTAGCGACAAGGCCATCACCGACTACCTCTGGTCCACCCTGAACGCCGGCCGTGTCGTTCCCGGTTACGGCCACGCCGTTCTCCGCAAGACCGACCCCCGTTACTCTGCCCAGCGCAAGTTCGCCCAGGGTACGTATCCACCATGAATGACAATCCAGACTCGACAGAATGAAATACTGACAACCCTACAGAGAAGATGCCCGAGGACCCCATGTTCCAGCTCGTCTCCCAGGTCTACAAGATCGCCCCCGAGGTCCTCACCCAGCACGGCAAGACCAAGAACCCCTACCCCAACGTCGACGCCCACTCCGGTGTCCTCCTCCAGTACTACGGTCTCACCGAGGCCAACTACTACACCGTCCTCTTCGGTGTTTCCCGCGCCATCGGTGTCCTTCCCCAGCTCATCATCGACCGCGCCCTCGGTGCCCCCATCGAGCGCCCCAAGTCCTTCTCCACTGCCAAGTGGGCCGAGCTTGTCAAGAAGGTCTAAACGTACGTGTACGCTTAGCAGAAGAAGGTGATGACGGGAAAGAGAAAACAGGAGACGCGGCTGCGGACGCAAGTAATTTTGCGTGCGTGGAAAAGGCATCAGGGTCGCATGAGCGATCAACAATAGACATGAAAGGCAGCGTGTTGTTTCAGTCAGGGTGGATAGAAAAGCTTTGGGCGATATCATCCACTGCGCTTGTACAATACCGAGAAGGGCTGCTTTTTTACCGGGAATTACTGGGTTGTTTTAGTTACCTTGGGGCCGAGGCTGGCTTGCGTCCGAATACACATTTACGAATTTGAAGTTAACAAGACGTTCTTTCTCTTGGTCCTTGCTTTACTATCTACTTGTGACACTGACCATGGTCCATTTTTGGAAGCTTGGGACGCATGATGATGCGACGATGTTGAGACGGAGTGGGAAAAGGGGATGAATTTGCCGATGTGCGCGCGCGCCTCTGGACGTGACAGGTACACGGGTAAAGAGCCATGCGCGATGGCTTGGACACGCGGCCGGACTTGAGCTATGCAAGCCAAGCTTGGAGTCGAGCTTCTGCAGGCACGCGCGCACACCAGGAGTTCGTGTCACTTTCAATATTGTGATGTCTTACATAATCTCGAACTACCACCTTGTACTACATAATATGTAGTCTTACTGTACGAAGTAGTAATCGGAACCCACACCTCGGGTTGGTTATACCCCAATCGATGTCCGGCGTGGAAAGAAAAGCTCTTGAGGAACAAGAGGAACCTGGTGCAGCGAGGTGATCCACCGTCCGGCTCTGGGATGTAGTTCCGGGATTGTGCAATGTGATGGAGACGGTGGCTTTAATTGGATGAGTGTGAACCTTCCACCGTGAGGCTGACGCGGTAACACTGATGGACATTGGTGGCTGTGGATGCCAAACGGATTGTCAATTGTATGGCCGATGAGCGAGAAATTGGATGCTAGCAGCCAGAGGGAGGCTGCGAGGTACGGAGTCTGGGACGGGGCGGTTGAGGCTTTCGCAGTCGGAAGATCCCCACGGAATTTTGCGTTGAGCTCTCCAGATGGGGACAAGGCTGGAAGCTGTTGGGGAGGTTGAGAGCTCCAAAAAGAACCGGCGGGGCTTGCCTTTTCTTAGTGCCTTTAGTGCTTTAGTGCCCGTTTTGGTGTAGTCGGCGGAGAACCCACGGGCCAGTCCGTGGCACGGCGGACTGTTGATGCGCGGCCTACGGACCCTGTTTTTCTTCTCTCCTGCTTGAGCTTCCACAGGTTCCAGTTTTGGGAGCTTTCTTTTTCTGGTTGATATCCAATGTTGCAGGCTGCACAGCTCCCTTTCCAAGCTGTGGCTGTAATTGATGTGTACTTTATCATCTGAGATGAGGTGAGGTGAGGTAAGCCGCCGAGGGAATAATGGCTTGCTGCAGTCCATCCTCGTAAAAGTACCCGATGGATAGCTGACATTGGATGCGATTGCTTGTAGTGGATGTGTACATGCCAACAGCTTCTACCTACTTCCAGAGCTACCTACCTTCCTACCAATAGCTAGATTTACTTGGTAGTCAACCAACGTAAGGTAGGCGCGCATATACATGAGGTCTTTTAGCAGTACAATGCACAGGGAGAGAGGGATGGAAAAAAGGGAGTCAAGTCTACTAACAATGCTTGGACAGCCGGCATCGTCTCAAGTTCTGGGCGTACACGTCTCACTTTTATCGCATTCCCATCTCCGTGTCACACACTCTCCGAGCGGCCTAGAAAGCTGTGCTATATTTCGCTTGCCAGTAGGGATACAGAGTACTTACAGCTCTAAAGTACCGGCGGGAGACATGATGTGCCCAGTCAAGCTTACATACGCTGCTACAACCATTGGGGGAGCCTGCAGACAAGGGGCTCTCGGCCGCCCGTTATGCTTCAAGGGTTGGTTACTTTGAAGCGTCCAACTCTGTCTGTAGACTGGCGAATGTATCGCATGTGCTCGTCCAGGAACCATCTAATAGGTCGTCCGAGGTGCTACTCGGGCTATCAGATCGGTCTTCCGATCAAGTCCAAGGCTAAAAGTCCAATGGAGTCAAAAGTTGGCCCGGTTCCAAGCTCAGCAAAGAGACTGGAGTGACTGAGGTGGGCTGGGACCAAAAAAATTGAGGAGCTTCCAGCATTCAGGTAGCACACCCCTGCCTTGCCTTGCTCACTGTTCCCTTCCCAATCCACTCCAATTCCCACGTGCAAAAAGGCGCCTGCTTCCCACGTCCGCTCAGTTACGGAGAGCTCCTGCTTCTGTTTCTTCTGTTTCTTGTCACTGAACGGCTTCCCCCCCGAACTAAAACCAAAACCAGTCCAGTCCCCCGGGCGCCTATTTCTCGAACGAACACATCTCTCCAAAAGCACCTGGCACCTCGGCCTTCTTCCGAGAAACACCAACCAGCACAGCTCGAATATCCGAGGTCATTCCCAGCCCTTTTTTTATCCCGCAACCTGCCGCATTTTCCCCATTCCTCGCTTGGCTCCATTCCCAAGCATCTACCCCGTACCATCCATTAAACCTCCCACCGCACCTCGCATCCCCCGCGAAGAAGCACCCTCCTCCCTTGGTCAGGGCCCCTTTCTGTCATCACAAGTAGCAGAGCCATGGTTGCCGTCGCCACTATGCCCGCCCCCATCGGGGAGCCCCAGAGGCTGGAGAAGAAGCCCGTCAAGTTCTCCAACTTGCTGTTGGGCGCCGGTCTGAACATGTTCGAGGTCACCACTCTTGGCCAGCCGCTCGAGGTCGTCAAGACCACCATGGCTGCCAACCGTGGCGACGGCTTTGGCACCGCCCTGGGCCGCATCTGGGGTCGTGGAGGTGTCTTTGGTTGTAAGTAAACCTCCCTTCCTCGATTATGATGATTCTCGAATCCCGAATATCACGACTGGAAATCAATCCGTCAATCGAGCTGCTTATCGCCGCCCGTTTGGTGGTCATCGATTGCTTGATGATGGAGCTCTGGAGACAAATCACCTCACAAGCAAGCATCGCTGACATTTCTCCTCCCTCACAGTCTACCAGGGTCTCATTCCCTGGGCCTGGATTGAAGCCTCCACCAAGGGCGCTGTCCTGCTCTTCGTCGCCTCCGAAGCCGAGTACTACGCACGCAACGCTGGCGCCTCCGAGTTTGGTGGTGGCATCATCGGTGGTATTACCGGTGGTGTTGCTCAGGCCTATGCTACCATGGGTTTCTGCACTTGCATGAAGACGGTCGAGATCACCAAGCACAAGGTTGCCTCCACTGGCGTCCCGCCTCCCAGCACCTTCCAGACCTTCATGGGTATCTACCGCAAGGAGGGTATCAAGGGCATCAACAAGGGTGTCAACGCCGTCGCCATTCGCCAGATGACCAACTGGGGTTCCCGTTTCGGTCTCTCTCGTCTGGCCGAGCAGGGTATCCGCGACTTTAGAGGCAAGAAGGAGGGCGAGAAGCTCCTCGCCTGGGAGAAGATTCTTGCTTCCGGTATCGGTGGTGGTCTGTCCGCCTGGAACCAGCCCATCGAGGTCATTCGCGTCGAGATGCAGAGCAAGAAGGAAGACCCCAACCGACCCAAGAAGATGACGGTCGGAAACACTTTCCGTTACATTTACTCCACCAACGGTGTCTCTGGTCTCTACCGTGGTGTTGCTCCTCGTATTGGTCTCGGCGTTTGGCAGACGATTTGCATGGTTGCTTTGGGTGATATGTGAGTTACCCCCACCTCTTTCACTACACAACACGGGCAGAACTAATCATTCGGAACTACAGGGCCAAGACTTACGTCGAGAAGCTCACCGGCGACAAGGTCACGGCTAAGCATTAAGATGGCGTTACATGGGGGAAACTATACCAATACCTGGAAAGGTCGTTGGACTGAGGATGGGGCTGGCTGGCTAACCTGGTCAAAGGCGGACTCCGTGTGGGGGAGCTGCTGTAGCATACCTTACCGTACCGATATCACGGATGAACCCCGCCGTGGCCCCGTGCGAGTGACATCCCCGGGGCTCAGCGTCTGTATCTGTTCTTCATCTGGCTTTATGCTTATCTTAGAGATTACTCGTTATGGGCTGCGCTTCGCGCCCTTGGAACTATATACAAAAGATTCGTGGACCCTCTTTTGTCTTAGTCATTCGTGATGATTTGTTGCAAGTGGATCAGGAGTAAAGACAGATACATCACCATCCACAGTACGGAATAAAGTCCGCTCGAAGTCCGGGATGAGGTTGACTAAGGTGGCTCCCGGACCGGCCGAGCGCAAGGGAGTTCGGATGTGGCCCGGGGGAGGGGACATTAAATCAAGCTTGTTCGATAGCCGCGCGGGCTGCGGTTCGATGGGAATCCACATCCGCTGAAACGCATCGTCGACGCTGGTAATGTGGTTCTTCCCTTCCCACTGGGGATCTGACGGCGCTTGTGTGGTATTTGTGAAAACATGTCCTCCCCTTCCCTCTCTCTCCTCTTCGTTGCATTGACGATACCTTACTTCTATCAGTGTACCTAGTACCAGAAGTGATGTCGAAGAAGATGGGATAGCTTTGGAGTCTTACTGACGGTGCCACTTCCGGGGGGGTAAAGAGAAGACGCCGGGCTCTGGAAAGGTCAAGCGAGAGAGAGAGAGAGAGAGATGCTTGATCTGCCCTTTTCTACTTGGTTGAAGTCAAGAAATTGTGTAGTAGAATCTTTACCAAGCAAGGTCTAGCCATCCCCTGTTGGCTTTATTCTCAGGAGCGATATGTTTCCTGTCGATGAAAATGAACATGCGTGTAATCATGCGAACTTGCTGTATAACCTAGGCGTGGGATGTCGTTAACACTGTGCCCTTCCTACCTTCTTCCACTGGTGGTCTCTTGGTCTTGGTGTACGCGTCAGCAGGGCGATAAACTCTCGTCTAGCATGAGGCTTCAATATTGTATATTGAACTGCTTAAATCGGGATGTGGAAGGAGACGCGTAGCCACATCCATTCCTCGTGAATGGACGCAGGTGGGTAAGGCCGTTTGCAGGGCGCCAAACCGTCTTTTACTTCCTTTCTTTCTTGCCTTCAAAACTGCCACGGACCCAAGAAGAGGAAGATACGGTACCTAAAGTTGATTCAATCCTGAAATTGAGCCGCGACATGGCGCGGTTATCGATATGGAGCTGTTCTTCTAGCTACGCGGCTACCAAAATTTATTTCTTTTATCTGCCCTATTGCTCATAAGGCGGTGCTCGATAGCGACTACCAATATATTGGCTCATTTTCTGCAACAGCTCTCAGCCATAGACATATTCAAGACCGAGTTATGGACTCGCAACTGGGTAGACAAATCGGCCAGCATAAATCGTTCTTTGGTGAACGCACGCAAGGCGAGAAGTGACTTGCTATTTAAGTACACTATAGATAACAAAAGACTGAAGAAAATCAAGCAGTGGAGGAGGGGAGTTTTAGGGAAGAAAGGTAACGCTTCCCTGAATACCAAAGGTCACTTAAACGGCGGATGGATAGTCAGGGGACACTAGTAGCTGCCAACGATATCCCTACTGGCCTCTCACCTTGGATGATGGGTTGGCTTGTTACCCCATACATGCCGTCATACGGATGTTCCAAAGACGGCATTGTCACCCATCAGGGTGAACCGCTTACCCCGACATTCGGAACCCTAAGCGGTCCAAGCTCGGGACTTACATGTTCCTTCTTTGGTTCCGTGAGCAAAAGTTCAGCCTCCTCCCTCCCCCACACGCCTCCCTAAAAGTCACCTTGCTACCTGAACGGTTCACAGAGGTGACGTCGAGGGGCCTCACTCGCTCATCTCTCTTTTTGACGAACCTCAAACTTTAGTCTGAGGACCATGGTACGTTTGTGGCCATACAAGAGTAGATGAACAATCGTCTCGAGGCTTTGAAAAGCCCCCGCTGGCTGCTCCCCTCCAACTTTATGCTCCACCTTGTACACGAGACCAGAAAGGTCTGCTGCCCATTCATCCATTGCAGTGGAAACTGGCCTCGAGACCGCATATGCATACATCAAAATAAGTGGCCACTTCTAGGTGGCTATTGTAAGGAAAGGCAGCCATTACTTCCCCTGAATCATACCGCACAGCTCTGCCCACCTGTCCCGGCCAGGCGTCGCGAAGATGTTGATGCATGGAGGGGTGTGAGTTGGGAAACCACAACAGTCCCGAAGTCGGATGTATATCTTGTATTGACATCCTGAATGCCACCTTGCATGTCAGTCACCCCGTATGCTTATACTACTGCTCTTCCTAAAGTGTTGATATATTGACCTTGATACCTTTTTTCTTCTGCTCCTACGAAGTTTCTTCCATTTCAGGCAGGGAACATTGTAAGGCAGGCCACTCTACCGGTAAACGGAGGACCTAAAGTCATCGTGGAAACGAACTTGGAGAGCCTCCTTGGAAAACTTTGATCAGGCATCACATGATGAAGTCCCCTTTAGGAAGGCATTACAGGATATTCATAGGCAGGCCTGCATTCTATTACTCCAAACTATTTACCACTTAGTTGCTCTTATGCATGAAGATAACAAGGTATCCGTGAGAAACATGAGCAATTCCCGGAGCCATTCTCCGGTTCTGCCTGAACTTCGCCGGGATCTTATGAGGTCCGGGTAGTATATATCATTCAGGCAACTGGCTTGCCATCTACAAGTTCCTCCTCCCTCTTGGTCGTCCAACGAGATAAAATACCGCCTCCAGTCATCAAACCATCTTCTCCGTTCTCCTGGCACTTGCCTCAGAGCCGGATGGCAAAGAAGCTCCCCTTTATCAGCTAACAACTCGCCCACTTGTTCCATCTCTACATTTCAAGCTGAACCTTCTACACATCCTTTCCTATTCTCAACATCAAAAGGGAACAAAGCTTCACCAACTCAACCAAATATCCGCCCCAAACCACTCATCAAAAGCCATGAAGTCCCCAATCACCTCCCTCCTCCTCCTCCTCCTCGCCTCGACAGCGGCCCTCGTCTCCGCCATCAAACCAGGCGGCAAAGGCCCCATGAACATGCCGCGCGAGAGAGCCCACATGTGGCAGCAAGTCGCCTGCAAAATGGGCCACGGCAACCTCTTTATCACCCCTTACAAGCTGACGGCCATCGTCGACGAAGAGGTCAGCAACATCTGCCACCGCCTCTGGCACAACCTCAAGCGCACCGACATCGCGTGCGCGCTGCCCAGCAGGACCGTCTGCGAGGACCACGGCGACAAGTCGATCCAGGAGAAGAGGCTCTATTGGAGCTTCGACGTGTTCACCTCCTGCCCCGCCGCCGCTGTCGACTCGGCCTGGTACGAGAGCACCGGCAACATTTGGGGCCGGTCGAGGTGCGGCGAGGGAAAATACGAGTATGCGGATCTTCCTGAGTTGCCCTTTCCTTATGAGAAGGAGCGTCCGACGTTTGGGGAGGCTTAAGGGGGGTGGGTGGTGTGTGGGAGAGAGGAGGCCTTTGGAAAGGTTTACAGCATACGACGAGAGAACTCGGGGAGCAGGTGGTGATGCTATTGAGCAGATATCATGTGGGTAGGAGGTGGGAGGTTGATATTGCCGTCCCCTGAGGGGGCTTAATAATTGTTCACTTCGTGGCTTCTTTTCGATTTGTAACTTCCATATCTTTAGCGGACTGCTTGACGAGATTTCTCATCAAGAGAGCCTCGTCATATCTTTCCGCCTCGATACTGATTATGTGCAGTCTCCTATATGTTGATAACAGCCCAAAGGTCATTGGCGTGGGCCCCATGTAGCCCATTCGGAGACAACAAAGCCTAGGCCAATAGTCACTACAAATGGAAAAATCACAGGTTGGAAGGAAGCCTTGAAATGAGCAATTTGTGACAAACTTTTATCTGGAAAGGGCTTGCTGGAATTAGTGGTCAGTTTGGCAAGGCAGAGTTAGAGGAGCTCATACTCACAACTTGCCTGGTTTAACACGGACGAGTCCTCTAGAGGATCAAAACATGTCGGTATCAGAGGCCGTTTCCCCTGGGGAAGCCTAGAAACTTTTGATAGCTGCTATGAATGTGTAATATACACGTTTCGCCTTGAGGCTAGGCAAGATAAAGTGATCTCTCCTTTGAACGTCCGTCCGAATCAAACCAAGCAAAATCTCGCGGAGTCCTTCTTGCGACTGTACCAAGATTTCAACCCCCAACCCACCTTCATTAGTTGCTCGCAAACGCCTTTCTGTATGAACTGAGTATCCCGCGGCTCTCTAGATCACATGGGACTCGAAATACGTGCGAACCAAGGGAGGCATCAATGCTGAATTCTAAACATGTTGTGGCGGGTTCCAACCCCCCCCCCTTCCGACCGCCGGTTCAAGCACGGAATTTGAGAAAGACATCAAGGTTACGAATTGTCCAAGAAGGCAGCCGTAGAAGATGCGATAGTGATTTGACCAACATATCATCAGTTATGCGAGGCCCTATATCCTGCTTTGCGTATCGCCAGTCAAGGTTTCGTACTCTCAAGCAAAGCAAGAATGGGAAACCCTCGCTGAATAACGTCAAGACCTCAGACTTGTCTTCACAACTTTTCATCACTATTGAAAAGAAAAGGGGCTAGATCGCTGGGCAAATACGATCCTCATGCCAACGACGAAAGTCTCCCGAGTCCTCTCTCACATGACCCACGATACCAGTTGTCCAGAGGTATTCTTTCCATTTCTTCAAGTCCGTCAACATAATCACCCATCACATCTCAATGCTCAAATACCGACGATTCGGATCCTGATGATTGCTCGTCTCATCTCGTTCAATCGTTCCCCCCCGGCAGCCCCAAGGGTTCGACTTACACGCACTCGAGCACAGCCGCACAGCATCTTCAGCCTCGCCAGAGCCACAAAGTAAAAAAAAAAAAACACAATTACGAAAAAACAAAAAGCCCGAAGCCTCTCGCTCCCAGGAATTTCGCATTCGCGAATCCGAAAAAAAACAACAACCGTGGATTACTTTCCAAACCTTGATGAGCTCCCTAGCAAAATGGCTGCGTACAGCCACAGCCTCAACCATCCGATTTACACACGCCTCACATGCGTTGGGCTGACTGATACGAAGGGGAAAAAAAAAGGGAAAACCGGCTACAACCAACTAGGTACGAAAAAGTCTGCCCCCCAGATATCGGACGACAGATCACGTACTCAAGACCGCGATCCCTTCCGCTCGGAGCACCCCTTGATATCTACCAACCTGACCACGTCTCCCTCGCCCGAACCTTCACTGACCACACCCCTTCCAAGTAAGACGTATCATAAGAGAAAAGACGGCGCTGAAGAAGCGCAGGGCTGATTACAAGGTAACAACACCACATGGGATTCCCGCATCAATGCGCTCGTAAGCAATCTCCACCTCGAGAGTTCAAGGACACAGCTGCACGTGTGAATCAATCGACCAAGTTAAGTCCGGCCAGTCGGATTCGAAACTCCCTACACATGTGACAGTCCACTGAGAAAGAGAAAAAATAAAAATAAAAACCTCCAAAAAAAAAAAAAAAGTCCCACTCCTACCTGTCCAAAAACTCTTTACTGCCTCTTGTCGAGAAATGCCATGAAAATACCACGGGCTCGAAGCACATACATTCATTTCTGCCCAAACTACAAAAATTTTCATCCCTACTTTTATCTTGGGCTTGCCTTTCAATAACAAGCTTGGGACGGAGAAAAGAGCAGCACGCTTTTACCGTACACCGAACGTGGTAAGTATTCGTAGAGACACTGTGTACAGACAGGTGTGACATGACATGACATGCTCATCCCTCCCTTATTCTACAACCCACCCCGCAATATCAATGAAACTCGAAACGCGTCAGGCATGAAAGAAACAAAACGAAACGCATAAAATGGAAACGGTCTAGATAGAGATGCCACGAGGGCAAAGGAGTGATTCACGAGAGAGAAAGAGAGAGGAAACAAAAAAGACCGGATGAAAGGGTCGGCTGTGCATTCTGCTATGCAGAGAGAGCTCTCCGCCGTTTCATCCAACAATTGGACACAACCAGCGTACCTAGGCAAATGTTGAAGATAGTCGCCATGTTTATTGTTTTAACAGCAACTGTCTTTCACTCGCAGAGAGAAGGGGAATTCCCTTGTCCTCCCTTCTCATCTGTGGCGCGGGAGAGCTTGAAGAGATTTTTTCTTTACCTGTGCGAAGCTTATCTGTCTTATTTTCCCGTCATATCGCAACTTGGATCAGCGGTTGCTAATGGTCGCCAATCGTTGCCAATCTGCGACCGGTGGGCTTGGCCTTCCCCGTATTTCATGTTCATGACCCCGAGCACGCAAAAGAAAAGAAAAGAAAAAAAGGTGCAGATCAGCCAGCCAGTAATTCAAAAGTTCAACAATTGCACTGTACGCAGTCTGGCAGTCGTCCAGACCCTGTGACAATCGCAAATCGGGGCGATATGGACTCGAGGGAGAGGTGCAAGGTCGAAAGTCGATCGAGTGTCGTCGCAAATTGACCCCAACGTCTTCAAAGAAGCCACAACCGAACCGGTGTCTGACCGCTAGGCCCAGGCGAGCGTAGATTAGGCGTGCCCTCGGCGGCTTTCCTGAAGAGGTTGGGGTTTCCCCTGTTGCCGTGGAGAGCCAAGAAAACAGTCAATAGTGCCCCCAGTTCACGACAAATAAACAACAACACAATAACACCCAGCGACCACCACCACTTCTAGGCCAGAGACCTCCAGGCTCCAGGTTGCACACCCCCGGGAAAGGTAAAAGCCATGGCGGTTTCACAGCGTTCCGCCCGAAAATTCGACCCGATCTCTAGCGGTTGGTCACTTGCATGACACCTAATAATCAGTAAATCATACCTAACTCGGTCCCCACAGCCCGCCGCCGGTCCAACTTGCAAGGCCACGGTGCCCGCCCGGCTGCCAGCAGTACCCTCCCCCGGGGATAACCACCTGTGGTGTTGTGGGTTGTCTAGACGGGCAAGGCGGTAAGTAAGTTGGCAGAGTTAGGTAGGTGATCGCAATTGGTGGCCGCAGCGGTCATCCCTCTCCATGCCGCCGCAACCCGCTTTCAACATGGCTTCTAGAAGGGCGGAAAGCGGACACGCACCAACGGAGGGCGGGCGGACGGGCGGGTTATGTTGGTGCTGCTAGCCCTGCTGCTGTTGTTCCAATGCTTCAATTCTCTGTCTCCTGTGGCCCTCTGCCTGTTGGCCGTTGGCGTGCTGGCTGCATCGCTGGCGGCATGTGGGGAAAAACATCGTGAGTGACTGCGGTTTAGTCGAGCGAAGCTCCGTTAGTGTCCTGTTCCTGTACCGGATATCTCTGCAGGACACTGGAGCATCTGCAGGATTGCCGCGGCTCAAAGTCGACAGATGGAGACCCCAATCAAACCGCAAAGATTCATCCAGCCAAGCAGCGCGTAAAGAGGGTTCGGCTCCGTATTGCCCTAGAATGCATGATCAGTTCCGGGAGTGGATTGGCGTGCCAATCGCCGGTCCTCCTCCATGAGCCCATAGAACCCAACTGAACCCTTCCGACTGATCAACGGAGACTGCCCGGTCTAACGCTTCACGATGGGGCTCCTTAAGACGGGACGCCTTAAGAGCAAGGCCCAGGAAACCGCGGCACGCACCACGAAAGAAACCGGGTCTGTTCCCGGGCAAGATGCTGGAGCGGGAACTCTGGGCCATAAGACCATAATCAGAGGAGCCAGTCAGCCACTGACTCGTCTCCTTTGCCGTTTTCTCTTAGTTACTCGTAGTAACGGGCGCGGTCGCCGGCATCCCTTGATCCTATCGAGTAAAGAGACGACGCCCATGGCCCATGATAATGGACCGAAGCAAGAAACGGCCCGTAATCGTTAGCCAACGGCAACTCCACGCAGCGCCGTCACAGGGAGCCAGGGCCACTATCATTGATGAACCCTCACCGCTTGATGACGAAGTGCCGTGTGGAATGTCACCAGATGTTTCCCGGTGCTTTGGTCTCTCGTAAGAGCATGCCCGGCTTATCCCAGAGACCCAACCAGACTCGCCCGGGTTGGCCTGCCCTGTACGCTTCCAAGGTTGCTGGGTTTTTCAAGATTCGACGTTGTACGTTCATCTCTGACTGGTTAGCGAACTGCGAACCAAGGGCAGATTCAGATTGTCAACGACAAAGAATTACGCTGTCCAGTTGCAGGCTTTTCTTCTTCTTCTTGGTTCAGGTTTCACCTTCATTGGTCTGTTTCAGGCCCTCGCCCAGCTGCTACCCCAAGACGTAGTCTCACTCTCGACCTCTGCCATGTAGTACGCATGCGACCTCGTAGACAGCAATCAGCCGCCTCGATGCGATGCTGTATGCTATCCTTGACGTTCCATTACCGACAAGGGAAGAAAATGAGATGGCTGGCGATGTCGCGCCGCAGCGCCGTAGCGAGTCGGGTCGAGTCAAGCACGTCGTGCCGACTTTCGACGATGGACGGATCAACCCTGGCCGCAGACTCAGGCCGCATATCTGCGCTGGTTGACGGTCTTAGGTCTGACAGCATTCCATTCTTGCTAATGCTTCCGGAACTTTTCGAAGCGTCTTGGCCGCAGCTGCAGCTAGACGGATCCTTCAGGTACGAGGTTTTGGCGAAATGCAGCTATTCGCTATGTTGTACATGGTCGCAATTCCCCATATCTTGACATTTGCTTCAAATCCACATTCATCCCGATGGAAGTTGGAACAGCCCTGTGACTTGGGATGACGTCTGTCGTGGAGGCAGAACGCATTGAGCAATTTCAATCGGATGAAATGATGCGGGAAATCGGCAGACTCATAATCGACTTCAGCTTATTAAGCCAAATCGAAATTTGACACGAGCTCCAGACCAAACCCTATCTGGCCTGTGCTGGCAGCCCCTGTGGTGATGGGGATGTAAACAAACGTGATGGTACCCATCTCATCCACAGCTTAATGTCCGAAAATACCAGGGTTTATCGACGCAGACGGTGCCATGATGCAAATGAGTGAGCATGCCAACCGTGCCCTCTTCTGACAGGGTTCTACGCGCCATCAATTAGACCTTTCTTGCGTCCAGTGCTTGCCTTTCTTGTCACTTGTTGGCATTAGCAACCAGTGTATGATGTCGCAACGAGACGAAAAAGGCCTGGCAAGCTGTAACATGGTGACTCGAGTGAAAGTCCCATCCACGTCCAATATTGTGCGTTATCGATCCGGGGGTCGCTCCACCGTTGTCTGTCAGTACTCAGTAATCCCCGCCGACAAGCCCATCGGCTCCGGAGACGGTTGTTTGGTCTTGTCACTCACAGGCCGTAGACTGATAGGAACCAATCACCCAAGCAGCAAGCTACACGGCCGGGCCTTGGGTCCAGAAGTCTCACCCCGACCCTACACTAGACTCCTCGAGCTTACATAGTAGAGGATGCGCGACGTGGAGCGGCTTTCAGTGTGCCGAGCGCTGGGGGAAACGGCGTCGCGAGTACCCATGGCCGATAGTTTTGCAGTTGAGTCGGGATTCGTGGCCTAGCTCGACCGACCCTTTGCTGTGGCCGATCCCTACATCTTATTACGTGCAAACAAATTCGTAAAATCATAGTTCGTAGACTGGCGTGACTAGCATCTGTAGACTGGTATCCGTACTGTGAAGAAGGATCGAACTAGAGCTCAAGTACCTATCCCGAAGAGCTGTCAAATGGTAGACTCGCACTCCGTACAAGCACCCGCACTGTCTTTGGGAGGTTGGTAGAAAGCCAAGGTCCCCAGGGCCCAGGTCGCTGGCCAAGACTTTGGGTTCAACTTTCCCCTCCAAGATGGAATCGGTACGACGATGCCACGAGAATGGACCCTCCGATTCCGTTGGCCCTTTTCTCGCTCAATCTTTCGAGTCTTGACCTCACACGGCCCAGAGGAAGATTGCGGGCTGTACTCGTGAGCCAAGAAGGATCAACTATACTTGGAAATGGCCTTGTCTTAGAGCTGCCAAACGAGGCGACATTGGGGTAAAAAAGCCGCATATCATTGTGTGCCAGAAAGCGCATGTCATCGACGGCCAAGACTCTGGAGGCGTCGATTCGTTGAAGACCCCCATCCTTCTCCAACTTTGCTAGATCCGACTGACTCGGAAGGAGGGACTGTAGACTCGAACGGCAGCAGAATGAGGCTTCTTCCACGCACGTTAGAATGGTAGCAAGCGCAGGAGAATCAGGGCCGTCAAATCCCCGCACTCGATAGAACGCGGGAGTGGAGGCACAGTGCAGGTGTATCTGTACGGGCGATTCGATGCACGATTCCGGGAGGGGGTAACCGGGGCCATTTCCGAGGACTGCAATGGTGGGTAGTGGTGCAGAGATGCGGCATGCCCCCAAGATGGCCCAGATCAACGTTGGACGAGGCGCCGACTGTCCAATCTGATAGCGAGGTTTTAAATGGCTCATTGTGGGCGGCTCAGCATGCCTCTTTGCTAAGAGTCACGACCAAGAACACAAAGACGGTGAGTGAGCGCCGAGAGTATCCAGTCTCCACGGGGAGCTCACGAGGACAATAGCGAGCTTTGGCCAGCCGAGCGCGAGTTTTCTCCAGGCTCCAACCGTCCAGGTTGCTCGACAGGTTCTGTCATCCGGTCCAAGGACAGGACCAAACACCCGGGCTTCAGGCAGGCCCGGGCGTCGTCCGTGGCAAGGCCTGGCAGGCTGGGATGGTGGAAGAAGCCGGGCAGACCGTGCTCGAATCTCGGTGAGTGGTTTCAGTATCGGCGAGCTGGGCCACCACCCTTTGCGTGGCACCGTGGATGGCAGCCGGGCGAGGAAACGGTCAGGCGGTTCGGACGTCTAGAGTTTGGAAGGCAAAATGGCCAAGGCCACCGACCGCTTTGTGCATTATGGGTCCCCCGGCCTCCTCGACGGCGAGGCCGAACACTGACCGACACGGCTCCGATCCCAAGCTCCAACGCCAACGAGAACTGGTTTTTGGCGAGGCGCGCCTCGTACGGAGAAACCGTTGTAGCGTCGATCAGCTTGGGGGGAACACTCAGCAAGCTTACGTCAGCACGTCAGCTCCCGCGGTTGCGAGAGGCGAAGGCGAGCACTGGCGAGGTCGAGGAAGAGGCGTCGATTAACCACTCTACGGCCTGTCACGATCGGAGGTCGATGCGAAAGCGATGAGCGGTAACGGATCGGCCGGAACGGCGAGGGTCACTGAGTAAGAGGAAGACCATCTGACGAGAGCCGCCCCAGTCGCTATGACGTAGAGGCGCCAGCGGTCAGCCTCGGAGGAGTTGGGAGCAGTAAGATCAGTGGAATCCCGACCCGGCCACCGGTGTCGATTCTGGTTCGTGATCCATCCGCCAGACTTCAGCTCAGCACAGGGCAATTCTGTCAGTCGAGTATCCGTGGGGTCCGTGTGCTTGAGGACCGATTAACAAGGTGCGAAGAAATATCCAGCGAGAGTTTTTTTCTCTCCCGCCAACATCGGGGTCCCTGTATGCAGGCGACGTGCGGTGAACAGTGGATATCCTACCCGGAGCGTGTACCTGACTGTCACGAACACAACGTGGATAATTCGTACTAGCTCTTCGAGACTATTCTCCGTCAGCATAGAAGGAGACAAGGGATCGAAGCCAAATCGCTCCAGTATCGTGCTTTCGGACAGTAAAACATATCGGCGTCTTGCTGCAGGACCCAGACTGTGTCGAGCTTCCAAATACCGTGTTTCTCCGTCATGGGGCAGAGCCAGACCAGAGCTTACCGACTAGACAGAGTCGCATTCTTGGCCCTGGAGAGCGCCCTTGAAGTCCCCCGAGTTCTTTGCGAAGCCTTGAGGATGGAGGCGGTCACTGAGTCTCTTCCCACAGCAGGGTTGCGCTGCCATGGAGCCACGGGAGGCATTCGTTGTGGAGAGAGAGAGACGGTAAGGTAGGCGGCTCGAAGGGGGTACTGTACGGGTACGGATACGCACCACACGGTACCCGTAGCTAGCTTCCCCATACTGGACCACCAAGGTATCCGTAAGGTATTCCTATCGGAACTTTGGGGAAAAGCGACAGGGCATGGCTGGGCCATACGTAACTTGTACGTAGTAAGTCGAAGTTCGATGCTTAGGGTATCCGCCAAAAACAGCTTTGGACAGCCGACGGGCGCTGGCACGCGTATTCTAAGCGGAATGCTACGTCTGTGTCGCCCAGTTTCAACGGCAGAAGAGTGATTCAGGCTCAAGAGTGGACGTGATAATGTGGAGGACCCGATTTGACGGATTGACCTGTGTGAAGGACGGGAGATGTTAGCGGGACGAGTGGTGCTGCCGACGATTGCCCTAGCACGGATGTAGACAAGACCAAGTCGTTGCGGATTAGCCGCTCCAGAAGCCTAATGCAAATTGCAAGAGTGTTGCAGTAGGGCGGGATGATAGCGGCGGGTAGCTTGCAAAAGCTGCATGTCCGGTAAAGTCGCGAGATGGAAAAGGTATCCGTCGACTGCGTGAGTTGTCTGCACGCATGTCCGGATCCCGGAGACTGGAGTGTCTCGAACAACGTCTGTACGAATAGACCTAGACTGTTTCTTGGTGTCTTCCATGGCGCTGCTGGCAGCGAAAATGCCCCGAGGAGGAACGGGATGTCCGTCATGTCTAGCGTTCAAGGGCACTGGCCGAAGTGCCGAATTCAGAAGAGGCAACCTCTCTGGTTGGATGGCGAGGAATGCGAATGCCGCGGACGCTGCTGCTTGCACAGGTACGCGCTTTCGTCTCGTTGCAGAACAAGATGCCTGATGATTGATGCATTCCATCGGGCGAGAAAAGGAAAATTGAGACGATGACAGATTGAGATGGGTGAGGTTCGGCCGGTAAGGTACGTACCGCATCCGGCGGTAAAGGCAAGGCCGCTTTACCCGGGCCTGCCTGCCTTACGGAGCACCTTACTTTAAGGTACAGTAGGTACCTTAGGTAAGGTACCTCCAGCAATGGTCACCTTGCCGTCCCTGACTCCCCGGCTCTGTCTTGGAAAGAGCGAGGCAGTCACCATTTGCCAGTCTGGTCCGGCTCAGGCGTGACTTCTCGGCTCTGTCGCAACTCCCATTTGAAAGCAAACGATGAAAGAAAAGAGCAGGTATGACGCTGAGACAGTGCACACACGGTGCTTACTAGAAACTGGCAACGCCGAGCATGGGGGGAAAAGTTTGAAAGGGCCGTTCCCTGATAACGCTTTGATTGGTCGATTGGCAACAACCTCGCAGGGTCGGTGACGGTTCCCAGCCCCCCCCAGAGCAGACAGCCCGTCAAAGCTCAATCACGAACAGCAGGGTAGGTCCCCCAACGTCGAAGCTCATGACTGGCAGCGAAATTTGGAGGGCCAAAAGCTTGTTGTGATCCACTTACCTTGGAGTCCTGGATGATAGAGAAAAAGGGCCGTACCGTTGCTCAGCGTTAGGAACTGTGTGGGGGTGTGCAATATCCCATGTCGACAATAGTCAAGGAAGATACGTACTCTAATTGTCTGATCTTGCACAATTCATACCAAGTACGTACTTGCCTTACACCATGCCTACCTGCTTCCTGGCAAGTCCTAGACTCCTAGCAAGCCGCGTTGGAAGTGCGGCATGTTATCCGCCGTGGCTTGATGACTGATGCGTGTGGTGAGAGTGCCACTGCAATTACACGGAGAGAAAAACTGCAATCCGCGACCGCCGGGCGGAACGATTCTCGTGGAACTTGGAAGCGGTCCAGTGCGCCAATTGGCGTCGTCTTGTTCCAATTGACCCGAATGAGGCACTTAATGGCCGTTGGGAAGAGAGACATGCGCCGGTTGTATCCGTACTCGTTGTTGTATGTGCTGACCGCCAGCGTTGTCGTCCATTCATCCACTCATCCATCCACCAAGAAGATTCCACGGCGGCGTCCAAGCTTGTGCGGTTCACGCACGTCGTACTGCGGCAATGAAGAGTGGGAAAGGGTAGGGGAGAGCGGCGCACGCTCCATCAGGCGAACCCGAGACAGACCAAGAGCCGACGACGACGAAGACGACGACTAATCCATGGACGTCCACGGTCCATGCCCGGCCTGTCTGTCTGTCTGTCGCGGCTCGCCTGTCGTTGTCGTGTTTGGGCCCTGGGAAGCAGTGTCGTCATTTGATGCCATGGAACGGCTCGAAAAATCGCGCAAGCCTCTGTTCCTATTTGCCCGATGCCTGGGCGGCTTCGGAGACCCCAGGAAGGAAACGAAGCGGAAGCACCCTTTAGAAAAAAGAAAAAGAAAAAAAAACACTCAGCAATCGGGCAATCCAATAGTGAAGCAGCAAGCAGGCAATGGTACGGATGAGCAGATGTCAACGGGTACGGGGTCATGAAGACGAACTTACCTGAGGATTACCTACAAATACGCTTAGCTTTCGCGGCATCTTGATAGTCAGACCAGAACAAGGTACCACTAGGACAAGGTAGCGATGTGTAAGGTTGTACGTACCTGGCCTGATGTGTGGATGTGCGGTTCTGACCCTGCCCGACATGTCGGCGACCCCACAAGAGCGCGGAAAGGTGGTGCTAAACTTCTAAGGCATGCACACTTTTCTGCTTGCTTTCGAGCTCTGCTATCCACGGTTGATGAGCGAGGTATCACCGATGGTCAGCGAGCCAGTGACGAACCTGGGATTGGCGGGGGCGTGGGAGAGCCAGCCAGATCAATGAGTGAGATGGAACGGAGGGAAGAAAAAAAAGTGGTAGCGCAGGAAGCCAATTCGCCCAGTACGCCTTAGTCGAAGCAGACACGCAGAGGAAGGAAGAAAAAAAAACGAAAATTGGGTCACCTTCCCACTTTGAGATATACCCACTTCGCTCCCACATCTGGGCCACAAACTGCACCTGCAGCCCACTTCTTCTACCCAGGTACCTGCCTTCCTCCCATGTCTGCACCTGGGAAACCTGCACGATACCTGGTCCTGGGAACCGTAGCCCGGCGAGTCCATGTGGGGCTCTGTACTTTGTTTACTTGCGAGATTATCTTGTGCATCTTGTTTTCGCACTGTAATCTGCACTGACCTGCTTGTGTGTGTGTGTGTGTGTGTGTGTGTGTGGGAGTCTGGAGAGCAACACTCAATCACCAAGAGGAGGATGCGAGTATGTACGCAGGGATCCCAGGACTGTCTGTGGTGTGTTTGCACGTCCCAGCTTCTGTCTCTGAGAGCTTTGCTCATGTGCCATCCCATCCGCGTAACCGCATCGCACCTCAATGGCTCAGTAGAGAAGGAAAAGAATGCGGTGCAGTGCTGCGCGCATAGGATAGAAAATTCAAGATCATCCAACCCAAGAAGCCTCAGAACCCGCCAGGCTCAGGCTCAGGCTCAGGCCCAGGCCCACGACAAAGTCAAGTAGTGTACTCTGTAAGTGGTGTTGCACAAGATTACACTGGCTTGGCTCATGGTCCGTGTTGGTGCCAAGCTTGCTTTTTTGCGCTCACAAATCTCACTCATCAATCGCGGCATCGCCCTGCGCGTCACACATGGGAAATTCTCTCGTCTGCTTGCGGCCATTTTCCCCCATTGCTCGCCCCAATTGCCGCCGTATCCCAAATATGCTGTGCACATGTTCTCCAATCCAATGGTACCGTCGAGGCCAAACTCAATTCGTA